TATTTTTATTTAAATAATTAATAAGGTTTTTGATTTATTAACTTCTTAATATTTGAACTTAATAAAAATTAATATCACAAAAAACAAAAATTAAATAAAATCATATATAATTCTATTAATATTAATTTAATAAAAAAATTTTTCACATTATAATTTTTTACAAATGAAAGAAAATTGTTATTTTTTTCTGCCGGTACTGTATAATTATATTGTACTGTTAACACATAATTTTAAAATCCTTTCCTTTTATTAATTCATTATTTTTAACAGTTTTAACAGAACATAGCTAGTTTATAACCTATTCATATCAGGGATATAATCTTGAATTTTCGTTTGCTTTTTTGCCATATTATGCTCAAAAGAACTTCTCTTAATGTAGTATCTCATTCTGAGCAAATCATTGGGATTTACGTTAAAATTATCTCCCTACTGCTCTAAGAATAATATCGCTTGGTTGAGAATGGTTTCTCCCTCCTTGAAACTTATTCTATCTTCTTTAACATTAGACTCGTCTTCGGAACTCAATTCTACCTCACACTGTAATCCAATGATCTGTGCAATTATCTCTTCATCATCCCATGCATCATCCATTAATGAGCAATTATCAAGAGATATATATTCTAAACGTAGCAATTGTAAATTAATACTATAGTAAAGAATAATAATATATGAAATTACTTGTCATTTGCAGAAAGCGAATCAGCCAGATTTAAACCATTAATTAACTGTTGAATAGTCAAGCATTCTTTCTGACATTCTGCTTGAATTGCTTGGGTTGCTTCCTCAATATTAGTAATCGACAGTGGCAAGATTCCAGTTTTACGCCAGCAGTTTATGATAGTATTTGTTGTAACATTTGTCCAGGCCTCTGCAATATTATATATGGCATGCTTAATATCGTACTCGAGAATGTTACCTGCATCATTTTCAAAGGTTGTATCAAGAAAGTTGATACGTTATTGAATGAACAGTTTTCTGTATTAAGCTTTGAAACTTGCAATTATTCCAGTATCACATGGCTGGATTACTGATGTCATATTTGGAGCAAAGAAGCGAATAGTGATGTTAGTGAGTTCATTATCATGATTGAGTTTATGCACTGGAGTATTATCGAGTAACAGCAATATCTGGCGATTAGCTTTTCTCATTTCTGCATCAAACTTTCTTAACCAATCATTAAATATAGAGACCTAAATCTGGGTTTGTTAGTGATTAGTATAAGTTTGTTATTATAACAAAGCGCACATTTACCTGCATATATGCTTTACCATTCCAGTAATAGTCAACTGGTAGATTACTTTTATTAATATTATGAAGAGGTCTAGGTGTCTGATATTTATGAATGACAAGTGGGCGGAGTTTTTCTGAACCATTTGCATTTGTAATCAAGAAAACTGTAACTCTCGATTTATTTGCTTTATGCCCACTCAGTTTGCGATCTGATAATGTACGCGATGGTTCCATGGCCCAAAAAAGGCCTGTCTCATCGGCATTGAATATATCATTTAACTTCCATCGAGTCAGTTCTTCTTGAATTGACTGTCTTTCTTCATCCACTAATTCTTGATTGGGTGCACTTGCTGCTTCCCCATGCTTAATGCCCTGCACTAGCTTACAACGCCTTTTGAAACCAGTAAGCCATCCATCACTATCCTTAAAATCCACAAAACCCATACGCTCAGCGTAAAAAAAAGCCTTTTGTTTAATAATGTCACCAGTTAAGTCTAACCCTCTATCCAAAACAGAGCTTGCCCACAACCATAACGCATCTTCTAGCTGTTGCCATTTAATAGGACGTTCTTTCCTTCGCGTTCCCTCCATACTTGCTTCGTTTATATTTATCCACTTATTTGACGTTGCTAAAATGTCCTGAACAGTTGACTTACCAATACCAAACTCTTTAGCTAAATCAGAGTTTGAGAGAAACAGCATTTCCTTTTTTCTCTCGCATAGTTTCTTTTTCTGAACACCTGTTAACTGCTTTCTTATCCGTTTAACCATTGTAAAGAATGTTGAGTATAATGCAAAAAAATTTACACATAGAAATTATTATCGATTGTACTACCGATCACTATAAAAAGAGTTTCACAAATATATTTTATAGTATACGGTAATTTATTTATCAATTGACCAGTCGGTCGGACCCTTATATATAGAATTGCTAAGACTGGTCATTATAAACAGCTGATTTTAATAGTAGTTGAAAGTGGCAAAGCACATGTGGTCACTATAAGGCACCAGTCGGTATAAAGAAGGTCGTTATAAAGAGAGTTGACTGTATATTAGTTTTATATAAACTAGAAACAACCCACAGGTAACTCCGACCATCCGGGTTTAGTCTGCCACCGTTTTTTTTCTATATCCTTCATTTATTCTAAAATTTTCCTTTCTCTTTATTCAAAACATGCACGATTAACTTTTTTAAACAGAAAATCATTTATATTCCAGTTTGTGCTGTTTCTGAGTAGCTTGTTAATACTTGTTTTTCCAAGCACGCGGCTAGTCTTGAACCCTCGTATAGTTAAACCATAAGAACTATCTTCAGGTGAAAAATCATTAATTATAATTGGCCGTTTTCTATTGGATACAAACTGATAATTTCCCAGTTTGTTTCCTGCAGCTTTAATCAGGTTCTTTACATATTGGTCATTGAGATCACTGCCATTCACATGAAACACGTGTATGAATCCCTTATCGTTGTTATTATTATTGTTGTTATTGATTACAGTTGTAGATATTTTTTCCCTATCCCTATATGTCACGTGTTTGAGCTCCTTGTTGTTGTTGTTATTGTTATCGCTATTGACAGTAGATGTTGTCTCTTCGCCAGAAATAATGGCCTCCTGTGCTGATTCTTCCAAATTCAAAGTCTTTTCAACCTCCATACTTTTCATCCCATGAACAGTATTGTAGTGTTTTATCCTTGTGATATGACTGATAAAGTCAATTTCACATTCTGTACACTGACATGCCTTAGGAGGCAGAGGTTGTTTCGGTAAAGGTTGTTCCTCTACTTCTGTACCCAATTTCTTTTCTCCTTGAGACTTTCTCTTATGAGATTGTCCTTTCCTTTTCTTTTTTGAAGAGTTTGGGTTTGACTGGAAGGTAAGAACTTGTCGTTTAAAGTTAAAACAGACCACAGAAGCTCTTCCTATCCACTTGGAGAAGAGTTCTTTAACTTAATCCAACTGTTCAGTTGATTCAGAGTATTTGAATTTAGAAGAGTCAATATAGAAGACCATTATTTCTGGCGAAGTGATATCTACTATCAATAGTGATAATAATAATAACAACAACAAAAAACTTAAACATGTGATGTATAGAAATAGTGATAAAACATCAACAATTGTAATCAATAACAACAATAATAATAATAACAACAAGGGATTTATATATATGTTTCATATAAATAGCAATGATCTCAATAACCAATATGTCAAAAACCTGATTAAATCTGCAAAAAACAAACCGGAAAATTACCAGTTTGTACCCAATAGAAAATGGCTAATTATAATTAATAATTATTCACCTAAAGATAGTTCTTATGGTTTAACCATATGAGGATTCAAGACTAGCTGCATACTTAAGGAAGAAAAAATTAACAAGCTACTTAGAGACAGTACAAATTGGAATCTAAATGATTTTATATTTAAATTAGCTAATCGTATATGTTTTTGAATAAGAAGAAAAGAGAAATTTTTAGAATAAATGAAGGATATAGGAAAAAATAGTGACAGACTAAACTTAGATGGTCAGAATTACTTATGGTTATTTCTAGTTTATATAAGACTAATATAGTCTAACCTTTATATATATATCATATATGTAAAAAACTCACTATGTTAATAAAACTAGAGAATAGTCTTACTTTAGCCATAAAAAAAAAAATTAACTTTTTTATTTGAAAATTTAATAGATAAGCTTTTTAAGCAATCAATTTTTTCTAAATTTATAAAAAAACTCAAGTATTTGTAAAGCTTAGCAAGTATTTTTATTTTTTTTTTATTTTTTTTTTTTAGCCTAATCAGGCCATAAATTCAAGTTTATTTGTATTCAAACAAGTTTACACTTTTTGGGTTCAAACTAACCCCAGGTACA